GGTTGTAAATCTTTACATGATACTGCTAAAACTTTTTCTTACAAATTATGGTTCTCCTTTAGAACTAATGTTAGTTTATGAGCTCGTTTTATGAATATTAAATACTGTAACAATATGCATCCTACGTTATGTTTTCATAGAAATACTGACTCTTTGATTTGGAAGAGACTTTGCAAGATTAAATGGAATGCTGACCAGTATATTCAATGGGCCGGGGTTTAGGTCAAGGTAATGTTTTTTTTTCTGGCAAGATAACTGGTTAGGCTATTCCTCTATTGATTCTTTACTTAATACGTGTTCTTTAAGCAACATCAAAGTTTCCTCTTTTATCACTAACGACAGTTGGGATATTTCTAAGCTTTTGGAGTTCGTTCCTCCTTTTATTGTTGATAAAATCCTAAGGTTCCTTTACAATTGCATGAAAAAGATATTATTTTATGCTCTCTTTCATCCTCAGGCAAATTTCTGTTGAAAAATGTTTGGGACACCTTTAGAAGCAAGCATGATAATTCTATTTTATTTTCGGCTATATGGCATAAAAATTTTCCTCTTTCCTACTCCATTTTAGTTTGGAGATGGATTAAAGGGTACATTCCGGTTGACTGTATGCTTCAAAAGAAAGGTATTCAGCTTACCTCTAAATGTTTTTGCTGTTCTAACATTGAAAGCATTGATCATCTTTTTGTTAGTGGTTTAGTTGCGCAAAAGGTGTTGAACTTCTTTGATATTATAGCTAACAAATCTCTTCACACTTCTTATGACAATTTCAATTCGGTTATCAAAAGTTGGGTGAATGGCTCCAAAGGTCACATTTTTAATCTCATTCCCCTTCTTATTAATTGTCTGGTACATTTGGAGAGCGCGTAATGAAGCTAAGCACCAAGGGATTAAGATGGATGCTTCTATCATCATTTATAATGTGAAGCATAAAATCTTTCAGCTTCATTCTTACAAGCTTATTACTTCTAATAACTTTAGTAACTGTAAGGTTTTTGCTAATAACTTGGATATTACCTTTTCTGATATTCCGGTTAACTCTGCTGATAAAATTGTTAAGTGGATCAAGCCAAAACCTCCTTATATCAAGCTGAATTATGATGGTTCTGTTGGTCCTAACAGTGCTGGTGCTGGTGGGATTATTAGAGATTGTTTTGGTAATGTTATTGTTGCTTACTCTGCCCCCATTCCTACTTGTTCTGCGATTTCTGCTGAGCTTAATGTTCTTTTATACTGGCTGAATATCTATACCAATTTGGGTTTTAATTTTATCTGGATTGAGGTGGATGCATTCTTCTTATTCAAATTATTAACAACATTATCCCCGGCAACCCGAACAATTTCTGTCTCATTAGGAAGATTAAACAATCTCTTTCTAGTTTCAATTACTACATCTCTCATATCTATCGTGAAGCTAATGTTTGTGCAGATTGGTTAGCTAAAAGAGGTTGCAGTATTCACAATTATGAGGAGTTAGACATTAGTTGTCTGCATCCTCAGTTACAAGGCATGATTAATTTAGATAAATTTGGTTTACCTTACCTGTGTCATGGTTGATTTCTCGGTTTGTATTGCTAGTTGGTTTTTACTGTTTTTCTATTTTCTACTTAACTCCTGATGTATTCTTAATTCCTGTTACTTTTACTTCAGGCTGAACTGTTGTCCTGTTCTTTCTCGCTTTGCTTTTTTCATTTCCGCTGATAAGCTAAGTTCTGTTGAGAGTATTTGTTGTTCTTTAGCTGTTGTTCTATCTCTTTGTGCTAAAGTTATCTATGCTTCTCTATTTAATATGGTCCATTCTATTTCCAGTAAGTTTTTCATTTGCTGGAATAGCTCTAATTGCTGGCACTCGTTATTTGTGGATTACTGCGCGCACTATTTCGTGGTTGTATAATTTTATGGCCTTTGTGTTTTCTGCTGAATGCTGGAGGTGGAACTATTTTCTGCTTTTCTATATCATTTGGTTCGTCACGGGGATGATGAGTATTGAGGTCTGGTGGTTATTTCTTATTCCTTTTCATTTATCTGGTTTTATGATGAGGGGGCTTCAGATTTTCACCTTCCCCATTGGGTGGCTGCATTTAACTTGCTGGGTTGAGTTTATCTTGGTTATTTTCTATGTGTTTTATCTGCGTGTTGTGGCTGTGGATCGCCAGTCTGATCGGGTTGATTTATCTTCGTGGAAGAGGTGGTTTGACCATGCTAATTATACTATTGCTGAGATTGCTAAAGGCTGGTTTTACGTTCACTGTTATGATCTCTATTTTAAGTGTTTTGACTGGAGCTGGAGGAATTTTCTCTGGGTTATGTTTGGTGCTATTACTGTGAATGCTAAGATCTCTAATATTACCTTTTGGAACTGTAGTGTGTTTTTATTTCCTCTGCCGGGCAATTTTAGGTGTTCTTTGGATTTTATTAAGTTTTATTCAATCAAGGATTATAGTAGAATTTGTCTTTCCAGTTACTCTTATTTCTCTCACATCTTTTTTGGAAGAATGCTTTGCAGGTATCTCAAGATTTATGATTTTTGGAGCTTCAATGACTGCAAGGTATTCCTCTATTATTTGTCTTTTTCCTTTTATTATTCTCGTTGTCTTTTTGGCAGGAAGTCTGTGCTGAATGGTATTATCCTGCACTTTCTTTTTTGGGTGCTGTCTACTCACAGCCCGTGTGGTAGTTTAAGTTCTTTTTGTAATCGTAGTATAAGGATCCACCGGCTCATAGGACTTTTGTTTTATTTTTTACTTGTAGCTCTTTCGAGCAGTAGCGAGCTGGAGGATTTTTCTAAGGACTTTGTAACCGATTTTCTGTTATCAACGCGTAGGCCCCTCTGTGGGTTTTAACAAAAAAAAAAATGTCTAGGCTCCTTAAAAAGGCCTTTTTTCTCTTTCATGGAATATTTTCTATAAGAAAATCTTTCTTCGTCTGAGAAAAGAGATGAGTTTCTTCTACCCATCCTTTGCAGTTCTACAGTCTAGAGAAATTTTAATCTCTTAGTCATCATCTACAAATCTCAGTTGAAGGCCTAAAACACTAAAAACTCAACCAGAGCTTCATTAGTTTTTCCATAATAAAAAAAAATTGAAAAAGAAGTGCAGTGCTATTATCTTCAAATAAATTGAACTTTCACGTGGAGAGAAATCTTATTTTTTTATTATTTGATCTTAAATTTGAACTATTTCACAGATAAAAAATCACAAGAGATCGAAGATCACTCCTAGTTCAAGTGATATACTTCACAATTTCTGAGTAGCACTCAGAAATTCCAATCATTGGTCTGTAACTGGGAAAATTATTAGGTGCGGAGATCGGACGCAGAGATACATCTGGACATCCAATTAAAATTTTACACGTGGAATGCACTTTGGTTGCACTTTTTTGTGCGCTTTACTTGCATTTTACCTGTGTTTTACCTGAGAATTAGTTGCGCTTTAGCTGCTCTTTTGGTGTGTTTTTTATTGCGTTTTGACTGCGCTATAACTGCACTTTACCTATACTTTACATGTGCTTTGACTGCACTTTGGCTGCACTTGATTTAAAGTTCCGTTGACACATTAAATATATAAAGTAAAAAATAAATTGAATTGAATATCTACATGTCCGCTCCACATGATAACATTTTATTGGAGTCCGGTCGTACCTCTACGTCCTGTGTCTGCAACTAATAATTTTCCGTGTAACTGGGTCTATGTCCATTTTTGAGATATATTATAGCACTGTACTTGAGCTCTGATTGAGAGTTCTGAGTGTTTCAGGACTTTGAAAACAGGTTTGTAAATAATGACCTAATGATGAAAAATTTTCTCTGCAACATTGCAAGGCTGGGGAGAAGAAGATTTTCCAGTCTTCTCACACAAAGACTTTTTTGTTTAACAGACAATTGCCTGAGAAATGTTCAAAAAGCAGCTAATACAACCATTTTGAATACTTATATACAAATGTAAGAGTTCACTCTTACAAAACTTCATATTTGTTAGAATGTGATGTTTGGAAGTACTGATTTGGAAGGGAATAGAACGTTTCCTTTCCAAATCAAATGGAAGCATTCTCTCTGATTTCAGCTACATCCTTTGGAATTTTCATTTTTTGTTTCAGACTTATGCCTGTTTGGGACCGCTTTTTTAATGTTTCTTAAAGCATCTTTCTAATACAAAAATTTTATTTTATTTTATTATTATTAGTATTTTTTTTAGAAAGTCACGGAAGGGCCTACGCTTCAATATAAAAACAAAATTACAAAGTCCTTAAAAGAAATCTCCAACTTAAAGAAGTTCTTGATCAGAACTTCCGGACAAAACAGAGAAAGTGAAATGGATGTAACATGAATGAAGTAATATTTCTTATTGACCGAAATGTTTTACAGAGACTACTATATATAGAAACTGAGATACAAGAGACCGCGGGGTGGCCTGGTGGTGGAGACTTGGCTGGCCAAAGGCCAGGTCCCAAGTTCGAATCCACTCGGCGCTTCGTGACAGCCTTAAGTGTTGGCCCTGTAAATTGGTGTGAGTTGCATGCTAGGCCGACCAGGGAGATTAGTAGCCGAAGGCCGACACTCCCTGCCCCCCAAAAAAAAAAAAAAACCTAAAAGATACAAAAAAATTTAATTTTTATACTAAAAAGCAGTAAAAAAATCATCCCAAACGGAGCCTTATACATATGTGATTAGATGCAATTTTACTGACTATATCAAATATATTACATTATGCTTTTATTTTCTGTTAAAAAAATTGTGAAAAAAGGCTCGAGAAATAAGCTAACTTGTCTTTATAAAATTTTGAAAATAATGGGAACTAATACACATTCAAACATATTTATGTATAAAGTGAAAACAATTAAAAAAACAATACATAACCTTATCTCAAATAATTAGTCAAACCCAAAAGAAAAGAAAAACTTAAATGAGACAAGCCCGTCATGCCCTCTTCTTCAACCTCTTCAAAACTCTCTCTCTCTCTCTCTCTCTCTCTCTCTCTCTCTCTCTGTTGTAGCTTTTCGCAGGCATGGCTGAGGGAAGGGGCGGTGCAACGCAAGCAAGTTTGGCCATTGGGCTAATGATGATCGCTCTCCTGCTTCTTAACGGCGAGCTCGCCAAGTCGAAGGAGTTCACCGTCGGTGACCACCTTGGTTGGGGCTTCAACGTAAGAAACTGGCCCAACGACAAGACCTTCCACGCCGGCGACATCCTCGGTCAGCCAACTCTCTGATATCCTTATTAACTCAATCAATATTTTCTAACATCTACACAGGACAAATTAAATATTTCTTAAACAAATCTGCATATGTCAGAATTCAAGTACGAGAAGGGGTATCACAACGTAGTGAAGGTGGACTCAAATGGCTATGCCAACTGCAAATCGAATAACGCTATAAGTACTTTCGACAGTGGTTATGACAATATCACGCTCGCAAGAGGCACTCACTACTTCATATGCGGCATCGCCGGTCACTGTTGGTTTGGGAATATGAAGATTAACGTCACAGCACTTTAATTTTATGAGATCAATCAGCTGTGCTTGTTGAATAAGAAAGATTAATGTAATAACTTCTATGAATTATGAATAAAGATGTTGAAAATGTTCTCATGATCTAAAACAATCATAAACTGTATTGATCTCTGCATAAATAAAATTAAGAGTTCTTAAAAGATATTCTTACATCATTGTTAAAAGGGCTAATCAACTTTGTTTTCATGGAGTGAAGCCCCGCTTATAATTTAGCTCGTCTATGTATCTAGAAAGAAAAAAGTGGGTTGCAAAAAAGTTTAAGAGATTTACTTTGAGATGATGCAATGATAGGGAGTTGATTAAATTTGTATTGCATTGATCATCTTAAAGTAATTTTAATGATTGTGCGACATCTTTAGTGAAATTTAGAATCTGTTCGAGATAACGGTTACAACTTTTTTTTAAGTTATTTATAAAATTATTGTAGAGAAAATAACTTAGTTATTTTGACGGTAAAAAACAGCTTTCCGCCAACCTTAAATACCAAAAAGTGCGGCCCTCTTCATAAAGAAGGTTCTTAATTTGAGGTCCTCATCTTTTTTTTTTTTTTTTTTTTTTTCATTTTTTTTTTTTTTTTTTTTTGTTTGGCAATAACTTAACTCTATATATGAAAATTTAAAGATCAAAGCTTCATCAATTATACATAAAATCTTGTCACTTTGAGAAGTACTCAATGCCAAATACATGCATGGATCATAGAAGAAACAAGAGCAAAAACAAATAACTCATCAAAGAAATAAGAAAAATAATAATCTCTTCCAGATTAGAGGGTCGTTGGTACTAAAAATGTTGCTGCCGAAGAGAATCGAATGATGAGTTCACAAATCTTCATAGTATGCAGTAAATAATCTCTTCAGATACCGTTTGATTTCTTCTTCTTTGGTTTCTTTCTATTTCCTAAACTTAGTTTTTTGACTTTTTGATGCGGACATCCAACCGTCCATGCCAATCCGAGGAGCTGAAGATCGACGACCGAGATCACTTTGTTTTATTTTTATTTATTAAGTGTATTTTAATTTAGTTTCGCTATTTCCCTTTTTACCCTCTTGTCTTATGTAAGCCCAAGGGTCAAATGTGTCTTTTAATTTCTCTTGAGGCCTATATATAGAGGCTCATTCTCTTGTATTAGGATGAGGATGATGATGATGATGAATGAAAATTTCTACTTTTGATCTCTTTGTGAGTTCATATTTTCTTGATCTCTTGGTGAGTTCAACTATCCTAGATCTCTGTGTGAGTTCTATGGAAAGCCCAAATTGAGGGCAAAAGCAATACCCGTCAATCTTTGGAAGAGTCTTAGGTTCGCGGTTCTTACGATCTCTTTGTGAGTTCGTTAGTTATCTCTATCTTTCTTTGTTTTTGTTTTTGT